GATGATTCACATCCTGGCCAGGACGTGAGATTTTATCATGCTCAGAACAGCATACAATTTAAAACATGAATTGTTTATTTTTGGAAATTTTCTTTTCTTTTTTTGAGACAGGGTCTCACTCTGTTCCCTGAGCTAGAGTACAGTGGTGTCATTGTAGCTCACTGCAACCTCAGACTCCTGGACTCAAGTGATCTCCTGCCTCAGCCTCCTGAGTAGCTCGGACTACAGGTGTGTACCACCACGCCCAGCTAATTTTTAAATTTTTTGTGAAGTCGGAGTCTTGTTTTGTTGCTCAGGCTGTTCTCGAACTCCTGGCTTCAAGCAAACTTCTTGCTTCGGCCTCCCGAAGTGCTAGGATTACAGGCCTGAGCCACTGCACCCAACCTATTTCTGGAATTTTTCATTTAATGTTTTGGAACCACAGTTGACCACGAGTAACTGAAACTGTAGGAAGTGAAACTGCAGATAAACAGGGGCTACTTTAAATATATAGGTAACAATAAAAAAGTATAAATGTATTTTTGTTTATAACTTTTTTCCCCTATTTGACTTAAAAGACAACTGCATAAAGCAATATTTGTAGATCTTTACTGATGGGCATATAATGTATATAAAGATATAATGTGTATGAAAATAATACTACAAAGGATTGGAGACAGAAAGGAGCTACAAAGAGAAGTTGTTGTATACTGTTGAAATTAAATTGGTATTAATTCAAATTAGAGTGTTATAAATTAAGGGTTAGTTGTAATCCCCAGGCAACCACTAAGAAAATAACTTTTAGAAAATAGTAAAAGAAATAACAAGGAAATTGAAATGATGTACTAGAAGATATCTAACACAAAAGAAGGCCATAATCAAGGAACTGAAAAACAAAAATTGACATAAGACATAGAAAACAAATAGCAAAATGGCAGAAGTATATCAGTTCTTATCAATAATTACATTAAATGGATCAAACACTTCAATAAAAAGGCAGAGATTGGCAGAAAATTAAAAGTTCCAACCACATGCTGTCTACAAGAGACACACTTTAGATTCAAACACACAAATAAGTTGAAAGCAAAAGGATGGAAAAGATATACAATGTAGACTGTATCCAAAAGAGAGCTGGATTAGCTGTACTAATATCAGACAGAATAAGATAAAAATTGCTACTAAAAACTTACACATGAATGTTCATAGCAACATAATTTATGTAGCTAAAAAGTGGAAAGAATTCAAATGTCCATCAGTTGATAAATGGATAAGTAAAAGGTATATGCATACAATGGGTTATTAATTTGGCAATAAAAAGAAATGAAGTACCGATACATGCTATATAACATGAGTGAAACTTGGAAATATTAAGCGAAGTGAGAGACATCAGTCACAAAAGACCACGTATTACATTATGTGTGATTCTATTTATACGAAATGTTCAGAATAGTCTAATCTATAGAGACAGAACATATATAAGTAGTTGCTTAGGACTGGGGTTGGAGTGTGGGAGATGGGAGTGAGCATTGACTGCTAATAGGATTTCTTTTAAAGAATGAAATAATATTCTATAATTACATTGAGGTGATAGTTGCACAGCCCTGTGAGTATACTAAAAAACATTGAATGGCATGCTTTAAACAGATGACTTATATGGTATGTGAATTATATTTCGATAAAGCTTTTAAAAATACCCTTGGGAATTATGCCTACATACAAGGAAATCATCATGTTTGAAAAATATAAAACAAAAAAGACTAAATCACAAAGTTGCTTATATGTGCTTTACTGACAAATTAAAAACCAACAAATGAAAAAATCCCAAGCATTTAACAACAACAAAAAACCCCAGGGACACAAGGATAGACATGTAGACCAATGGAAAAGAATCGGAAGTTCAGGAGTAAATTCATACGTCTATTGGCCAGTTGATTTTTGACAAGGGTGTTAAGGCTGTTCAATGGGGAAAGAATAGTCTCTTCAACAAATGGTGCTATCACAACAACAAAAGAAAAAAATAGGTAATTTGGACTTCATTAAAATTAAAAACTGCTGTGCATCAAAGGATATTGTCAATGAAGTGAAAAGCCAAGCTAGGAGATAATATTTGAAAATCATATATCTGATAAGGGTCTAGTATCTAGAATATATAAAGAGTACTTCTAACTCCACAACAAAAATCAACCCAGTTTAAAAATGGGCAAAGGACTTGAATAGACATTTCTCCAAAGAAGATATACAAATGGCCAACCAGAGCATGAAAAGGTGCTCGATGTCAGTAGTCACTAGGGAAATACAATTCAAAACCACAACGAAGCACTACTTTACACCTACAAGGATGGTTGTCATTTTTACAAAATAGAAAACAACCAATGTTGGAGATGATGCGGAGAAATTAGAACCCTCGTACATAAAATGACTCAGACACTTTAAAAAAGCAGTTTGGCGGGACCTCAAAAAGTTGAACAGGCGAGGTGCAGGTGGCTCACGCCTGTAATCCCAGCACTTTGGGAGGCTGAAGGGTGAGGATTGCTTGAGCCCAGGAGTTCGAGACCCAGCGTGGGCAACATAGCGAGACCCCATCTCTATAAAATTTAAAAATTAGCCAGGTGTGGTGTTGTGCACCTGTAGTCTGAGCCACTTGGGAGGCTGAAGCAGGAAGATCACTGGAGCCCAGGAGTTGGAGGCTG